GCCTCTTGTCCCATCACTCTCCACACGGCTCGGAGTCAATACCATGTCTCACTCCATTTCCACCACTGAAATATTGACGTTGGCATAAATTCATTATAATGAGAAAGACCTTTTTCTAAGCACTTTGCTGTAACACTTTTTGCTGTAACATGCATTCCACCTTGACACATTCGTCTATTTGACCCGTGGTCGGGGTTAGAGGAAGCGTAATCTACCCAACACTCAGCTTGGTTACGGCATCTGACGTTTCATCTCATGCTTTCTGCTTGGGGAATCCCCTTGTGTCCTTTTATATAATATCTCCAGCAAGGGCATTGCTAACATTAGATCAGGTCCCGGGAAATGGCCTTATCCATTCATTAGAAATAGAGCTCGAGGATTGCTGCTGGAGATTTTATGTTTTACAGCATCTTCTAATTTTTGTTGGTTGGCTATTTTTACCTGCTGCTGAACAATGATGGAGTAACTCCCAAACCTTGTTAGCCAGGAGGACTCCTAACCTAAAATTGTTATTAATAGGTTGATATTTTGCAAAATCATATGAAGCTACACAAAAAAATAGACTAATAACATTTAAAAAATTGTTCACAGTGAGTTGTTATCCAATTAGGGGCTGTGTATGGTAAAAATTCAGGCCATAGCATACACACATTTCATATACTGCAATATACTGCCAATTAAAAAAAATTAAATTTTTAAGGAAAACTGCATTATGGTATGAGACAGATGCCAACTTACTTTTATGCATAGCATAGCACTGCTACTGTAGTTTGTTGGGGTTTAAAACACACACTGGTTTCCCAAATTACAAATTTTGTAAAATTCTATAGCATATTTTTCTTACTTTTAATTCCTTGAACTATTTCCTGGATATTCTGGATAATCCAAAGACTTCACTCTGAAAAGGTCTACATAGTGACTACTTTCTGGCTTAAAGAAATATAAATATTGTCATTGTAGTAATTGTTGGATGATTATTATGTGTATTCCAAAAACAGACCCTTCACAACAAATCATTTTATCCTCCGTCAGACCATTATCAAAGGGTAAATAATATAGGAATTTACCCCGCCCGTGTTACAAACTTATTAAACCCCTGCGAGGGAGCTGGACTACTAAGATCACAAATCACGAGATAAGCCAAGAATCCATCTTGCCAGGCATCAAGCTCTTCGTTTGCTTGTTGTCCAAACTATAGGGTTCCAATCAGCGTCCTATGAGGACTATTGGCAGGTATGGCATGCAAATTGGTTTAGGAATATGCAACACTTAATTCCACAATATAACTGATGTAATCAAGCCTATGGTAATAGCCTCTTGTTTGTGGTTATTTACCTAATTTTTGTGGCCCTGTCTCTGTAGATGTGGTCAACATATTACTTTTTGAAGATTTTATTATTTTAATTCAATTCCGAATTTTATTTGTATAGCGCCAATTCATAACAGAAGTTATCTCAGGACACTTTTCAAATAGAGCAGGTCTAGACCGAACTCTTTATAACATTATTTACGTTGATATTGTGTTCACATGGTACATATTTCTAAACTAAATTTAAAGAAGACGTGTACCAGGTAGAACTTCAGTAAGCAGTCAATCATCAGATGGAAGAAAACAACTCAAAGCCAGTACTGTGAAAGGAAGAATGGGAGGAAGGCTGCAGTACCTGAGTGGCGTAGATAGCTCTCTTCATAATGGTGAAGTCGTCTCGCTCCAGAATGGAGTTCATGTCGGGGATCTCCCCTCTGAGTACGGAGCAAACAATAACTCACACAACACAGAACATGCGCAATCTCCATCTATCACAGAGAAGCAGTGCTGATGTACACAGCAAATGTGTAAAATCAATAAAGCTGTGGGTTCGCTCAGTGTTCATACTTACTTTAACAGAGCGTCATACAGCTTTTTGCCAAACTTCTCCTTCACAGTGTGAGCTGTGTCCCTGCAAAAGTCAAATTGTTGCATTTGTAAAGCAAGCCCTAATTTGTGTGCTGAACAACAATGACATTAAAATGGAAAACTGAAGCAGCCGTGAAGAACTTTCCGTCAGGATTCTGTTTGAGGCCTATAGTTTGAAAGACCATGCTGTGTGTCAAGGTCCTGTTTTCAGGTCTGGAGGTTCCAGAAACTGGCGTGACACTGGGAGGTCACCAGAAGGATCCCCAAACCAAAAGTGATATATACGAAGGTTTCTTTATCTGCTACAGGTACAGTCAGGTTGAGGCACAAAAACTACTTGGTTAAGGTTTAGCAGAAGAAAATGCAAATGAATGTTTGTTTCCATCCAATACCATTATGTGAATAATTAATTTTTATAACTAGATTGGGTAACCAAGACCACGCCTTGAACTCATCTCATTTCGCTCCCTCTTTGACTCAATTTTCACATGCCATCCCCAAAACCCTTTCTTTTTCCCTTTTCTCTCCACTGGAACCACTGTGGCTCTCCTCTTAGAGCTAAGAAGGGATGGCTCCCCCACACTTAGTTCGCTAAATCAGAACCTTTTTGTAAAACAAGTTTCCATCTCCCATTAAGGGCATTAACTATATTATAACTAATAATCATTTTTCAAAAAGGCAAAAACCACCACAGATTGTTGGTGAAATTAAAGATTAATTTAAAAATGCTACCGTTTAATGTGGTAATTCATAATGTGCATAAAGATATGTGAAAGGGATAGTCACACACTTTGTCAAGTGATTGTGCTGTGGTTAAAAATACAACAAAACATAACCTCAAACATCATTGTAGAAACTAATGCAGATATTTAGAAAAAAGAAATCAGGGATGTGATTCTGATTCTGAGGTGAATGGTGTGCAGATTTGCACATCATAGAAGACTGGACTATTGGCCTTGGCAGAGGTCTGCGATCTCCATGTCTTCTGGTCATAAGTGGATCTGAGTTAGTCAAATTGTTTACATATAAATGTAAGGCTGTGGTTCCCAACCTTTTTACTTTAGGGACCCTTTTTCTATCATTTACAGAACTGACGACCCCTGAATAAGTGACATATTTTATGGATATTTCATATTAGACTCAAAACTGTACAATTAACTCAAATAGTGAACTCAGTAATTACAAGAAGTTTGAGCAAAACGAGTTTGGAGTGGATTATTTCCTGTTTAGGGAACTTTTTTTTACAATTCTGTCTGTAGTATGTATTATTTTAAAATAATTTTACACAATCATACATACTTAATAGGCTGTGTTTTTTACAAATTCAGTGTTTTCTTGTTCCTGATGATTGGCCATCGTTCTATTAGACAATTTACTTAACGAGTTACTTTACATTTAAGTAACAGAAGTGAACCAAATGCTGAGATATAGGCCCACTGTATAGATATATATGTGTACGTTTTCTAGCGCGCCCTAAAATTAAGAAGTCCTTGCAATCCCCCATGAAGCTTTGGCGACCCCTAGAGGGGGTCCTGACCCCCGTGTTGGGAACCACTGATATAAGGTATTGCATGTGCATTATCATGTGTTTATATTGGTATTAATGTGTTATGTAAAGCACATCAGGGCGTACCAGAGCTGTTTCCGCACTGCCTGCCCCTTTAGTGACTCCACATTGAAGTTGTTGGTTTTAGCCGGCATGATGAAGAAGACTATCACTGTCACATCATTTCTGTGGACCTGTGGATAGAGTGGAGATAGAAAAAACAAAGGGGAACAGGATGTATAAGTGGTTTGGACAGGAATGCATGCTTCTTTCATTTACGTAATATTA